AGGCGGCTTACATGGGATAATCCGGCACGCCGCTAGGCGAAATGCTCCCGGGCTGGGCCAGGGCGTGCGCTGTGCTGGTGTTGTGCGTCCATTTTGGAGGGGCGATGGAGGAGGGGGACAATGGGCGACGTCGCGTGCGTGTGGTGGCTGGCAAAGACAGTGGACGAGCACAGTGCGCCAGCTTTTCTCTCTTCACCACGAACAATACCGGTCGCCGCACAGGCGCTCGCCTCAGCGGCTTTTCCCGAGACTGCGTCCAGGCGCGTGCACGTCGGACGCGCCGCGGGACTCGTTCGATCCAGTGTTTCAGCTATATATTATTGAGCCCTACTGACCCTGCTTGTTCTCCTCATGCAGCCTTCCCGTTTTATATCGTGCTCACCTTCATGTGGTTTTATCAGGCGTATTACGGTATATCATTATGTTCCCAGATGCCACAAAGTGGACGGATACCGTTATCCTACAAACACGCTCTCGCTCGTTGAGTCTGGGATGATCCTTCAGCCGTTGCTTCAGTGCTTGGCTCCGGACTCATTCATCGTTCGTGAAGAAAGTTGTAACTTATATCGTACGGACCGCTCTGCGAGGGAGCTAGAACCCGATAATGCCAATATGTCAGCACTGCTTATATGTTGCCGAGATGTGAAGGCCTTCATGTTGGGCGAATTGACTCTGCAAGCAAGGTTTGAATAAGAAGACCGTATATGTAGAGTCCGGACATCGTGCTAAGCTGGTGGGTGACCCAACACTGTCAGAGATCAGACTAAGGGCATGTCCCGGTGCCATTTATTTTCTGAGATCTGCTAACCCAGAATAGATTTAGTATCATCCGAGTCTTTCTGAACGACGCGCAGAATAGGCCGGAACATCGACAACTCGCCAATGGTTCAATGCACGAACTTGAACGATTTCCTAATCGGATGTGATTGATCGAACCGGTGGCTGAGCTCCTCGTGCCCCAGTCATGTTCGCCGGCGCTATGCTCGCAGTGCTCTTGCTCTAGTCCGGCTCCCCTTCCAAAACCGGCCGCGTCAAGTTGTGGTCGGAACAAGGGGCTGAAGACTATTTATTGCCCAAACATCCTGTATATCGCAGTTCTCCTTCTCTCCTCCTCGGTCCGCAAGGTGCTATCTCTGCACGACGGACGACCGCAGTCTTGAGTCCCGAGTCGATTCTGCAATATAGTATGACTGTACTTTGTTTCACGCTTGTGGTTATTCTGACAAAATTGGTGCCAGACATGACCCAGTTCCTGGATCTCAATGACGATGTCCTCGATGCGATCGTTTCGCACCTGACGGTCACACATGCCCTCCATCTGGCTTGCGCATGCCGAAGAGTACATGATATAGCCATGCGCAGGGCACTGTCTCGCGTAACCATCTTCAACCAGCGCAAGCGGTTCATGAAGTTTGCTGCATGCATGCTTTCGGACATCTCGTACCATGTCATTTATCTGAGGAAGGTCCACATATCCCTCTTTGGCGACGTCGGAGAGACCGACTTTTCCTCTGCCGTGCGACTCCTCACCCACGTCCTTCGGAGAGCGAAGAATATTCAATCGCTCGGTCTTGGACCCATGGAACTAATGATAGCGAGTGTGCCCGCCGTCGCCGATGCCGTGTGTGGAATGGAGAATTTGGAAGCACTGTGGTTGTATAACGGGGGTCAGGAAACAATATTGATGTTGGATAAAATACAGAGCAGACTCGAAAGGCTAGTTGTCCATAGTTGGTCGGACCGGCTCACGACCGACGCTCCGCAAGTCCTCCCCCTCATTGCGCACATCCAGAGCCTGCAATCTCTCGGCCTGCACAACCTCACGTTCCAGGATGAACCGCATCCGCACGCAATATGGAGGAATGTGCGCATTTTGCGCCTGGAGTCCTGTAGGGCTGCGATGCCTGTGTTTGTTCACTCATTCCCCACAATTCGCGCCTTGCATCTCAAGGGTAACGACCGGCGGAACCCACAGGGTGAGACTGTGCGCTGTTGGCCTAGCCTTGACGAACTCTCAGTCAACACTGTGGAAGACCTATTGGAGTGGCCGATCACCTGTCCCGTCCGTTGTGTGTCGTACGAAGCTCTCATCCAAGACCCTGGTGACGCGGAACAAGCATTCGTTCAAATCAAGAACGTGAAACCTATCGTTCTCTCGTTATCGATACTCAATTCTTTCAGTGATTGCTGGGCGGAAGTTGCGCGCAGCGGCCATCGACTTCGGGCTATCACTGTCACTCTCGTCAATCTTTATGGGTCGGCTTCTCGCATAGGAACTCCTAACTATTCGCGATGGATGGTCAGTATTTGTGACATGGGAATTCGTTTATACTCACCTTTGGCGTGTAGCAAAATGTATTGCCTGTCCTAGGAAGATCGCAGATCATGTTCCTCCGTATCATCATTCCCGGGTCCTTGCATACAGATCGTCTCGTGTACGAGAAGTGTCCAGAGCAGATCATGAAGTCAATCCCATCTCTTCGCTGTTTGGGCTTCGGAGATAAACCAAGCACGATGTGTTGGTGGCGAATCGTCACCAATCGTGCTCGTAGACGGGAGCTGAAGCAAATATCAGAAGCAGCCGGGATGCGCGTGCTAGAGTATATATCGTCCGAGACTTTCGAGATGTCGACGGTATTTGATGGTGCGTGGAAAACGTATTGCGAACTTGGTTCTTCGCTAATAGTGGCGCTAGAGTCTTTGCTCGACATTCGAGGCTGAGTATCAATTCGCCATATGCTGTTGAGAGACACTGTAATTCTTCGTTCTGTTCGAATTCATGTATTACTATAGATACACTTCAAGCTCCCTTACGCCCACTTAGTCGGCGATGCGAATTAGCCTATGCAATCAGAAACTTTTATCATTCATTCAGAGCAAGTTCAAACATGTATCACTGATGCTCACATTCGTTATGCCTGATTGTACCAACTCTGCCAGCCTCTTTGAAATATAAGTTGACATTACTAACTCGAGGTGGGTTGGTATCTCTCGTGGCTCGCTTCCAAAGGCCGGTCCACCGGCGCTCGCCCCGAGCTCAGATTCAACATCAAGTACTTCAGCCAGTGAACACTAGAGATGAGCTTCCAGATGACGACTTGGCATTGACTTTTTGTCTACAACAGCAGAATGGTGAATCATATTGCTGGGACTCCATCGGGGTACGGTAGCCAATACCGCAAGTAACGCTGGAGGACCCAAATACTGCATTGACACACCGCCAGGGTTTTTGAATTTTGTGCAGTGCAGACAAACGGCGCGTGTCGAATGGCTGCATCGGGTATAGAGTACTTGTGAGCATGGGCGTCCGGGAAGACGAGCGAACGGGCGGATGGAGCGAGCGAGCGGGTGACTCGTAAGCGGGCAAGGTACCTTGACTCATTACAGGTGCCAAGGGAAGTGAATGGGGTGAGGACGGACGCATATTGTCATTCGAACGAGCGAATGAGTGAGCAGACAGGCAAGTGAGTGGGCAAGCGAGTGAGTGAGCACGCGGGTGGACAAAGTGGGTGAAGGAGCAAGTCGGTGTGCGAGCGGGCGGGCAAGAGAGAAGACGGCTGAGTGAGCAGACGGGCGGGCAAGAGGCAAGAGAATCCGCAGTGTGCATGCATAGCTGCACACGGCGAGAGCAAGGGAAGACTCACGGGCTCCAACTCTATGTCTGCTGTTGTTGGTGACTTGCTCTCCCAGCAGCCTGGTATCAGCAGGTGAGTGAGCGAGTGAAAAGGCGGGCGAATGAACGAGTGGGTGGTCGAACAAGCAGTCTGGCGAGTGGGTCCGAGAGAGCTTGAATAACCCGCATGCTCTGCAAAGATGGGTGACAGGGGCAGGTCAGTGTACTCGCAGAGTGCGAGCCGGTAGGTGTCCGAGCGGGCGGGAAAGTGGGCAACGCGCGAGTGAGAAGCGGAAGCAGTGGTCAGACGAGCCAGGGAGCCCACGAGCGAGCGAGGACGCGTTGGGTCGTCCCAAGGGCCGCAGTGCACAAGTTATCGACCAGGTGTACGTTCAAAGCCAATATATGCACCACCACCTACGCGAGGAGTACACAGCCAGGGGCAGAAAACGCTGAACAGGCGGGCACAAATACTTATGGCAAACATACGAAGGCCAGAAAGAACGGGCAGCAGCACAACTGATCGTATCACTGTCAGAGCAGGCCAATCCCTGTTTCCATACAAACCGAATGCCAAGTGACATTCGAATGATTAGTGAGCCCAGGGCAAACACCCCATCTTTCTTTCATCTGATTCTAACAAAATACACATCCTACGTTTACGGTCTGAGTTCCGCACGCCTATGCCATCCATCCCGCGTGGATCATGATGTACTCAATCGAGTTCTTCGAGCAACGCTCGCACTAACAGCGCACGCATATGGAGGTCCTCACGCTTACCCTTACCCTGCAATCCAAAGAATCCCTTGAATCCCTTGTTGGGTTTTCCATCCGGATCAATCGGCTTCGGAGGTATCTGTGGCGGCGGGCCCCGGGTGGAATCCGGCCGGGCCAGCCCATCCCCAATGGGACCGCCGTTATACATATGCCACGTTCGGTGCGCCGCTTTTTTAGCTCGGTAATCTTTCATGTCCGCGTTGTACTTTTCTCTCGCAGCCTGTCTGATTGGGTCATTCGGGTCGTTCGAAGGCAGCTGTAGAATGAGCAGTTAGCGCACTATACGCACACCCCTTTCTGAACATACTGAAGTATATTTCCCGCCCCCCTGAGTGCCGCGCAAGCACCACACGTGGATAGTAATACGCATGGTCGGTCGACGATCAGATAAACAGCACGACGGAGTATCTGCCTGTGAGCCCAATTCGAGCGCGGACAACCAAAACTACGTACCTTACTGTTCGAATTGCCGCGGCGGAATATGGCAGCCGCGTCATACACGTCGCGGGCCGACACATACGGTGCGAACTCTTCGCGCGCGTATAGGTCGGTGAAGGATGGAGAAGGGGTGGCACTGCAAATTCCAAATATGAATGAGCCTTGCCTCGCCCACAGGCTGCATTCAGATGGAGAAGCATCATTTGACTTACGTGACCAGAAGAGGTGCAGCAATAGCGGCAGCAGCGATAAGGGTGGTCGTGACACGCATGATTGTAAATGCCGACAATGAAAGACGTGGAGACAAGCGTTAGACGTGGATGTGTACTGCGAAACGAAAGGAGACAAGGTCAAGCTGGGGGAGTGAGTTAGGGTCACAATCATCTAACAGGTCCTGCATGGTACACTCACTATCCAGTACCTGGCTTGGAGTTGGTGAGCGCACAGAGATCAACCGAGGGCTGGAGAGCGAGTGGCGAGGGTGGTCAGTCATTTTATATCAAGCTCGACAGGGAGCCACGCCCTGTGAAGTCAGCATCAGCAGAACGAGTCAGTCGCTCAGGGCCTCTGGTCTCGTACCCAAACGCGTTGTGTCGGTACGAGACCAAGGGCCTCAGGCTAGAAACTTTGAAACGGGAGATTCAGGGCCATGCCTTTGGGATGTGAGGCTTTCTGAGCTCCGCGACCGCGCATCTTGCTTTCCAATTTTGGGCTTGCCGTCACCAATTGCCCACATCTCGACCACTGTTCTTCTGATCAAAAGGCTAAAGACTAATATGTATTTGCAAGTGCGCGCGGGATCGTGAAACGAGTTTCAAAACGACTGGGCTCAGTTGACAGGGTTTGGTTGTCGGGGACCGTGTGAAAAGGGACAGCTGGTCCAACACCGTGACAATGTAGCGGCGAGGAACGAAGTCAGTGGTGCAGCAGTAAGTTGAGGAGTGGGGGTAACAGCCAGGAACGGAGGTGAAGCAGGAACAAAGGTCTATGCTCACATCGAAACACCACGTGCTCCTCCCGAGACATGCCAGGGCAACCCCAGCCAACCTTTCGACTGAGCGAGTGAAGACTTCACTGTCATCGCCTTCAGGCTGTAAGTCGACCACATCACTACTCTCTTGCGCTTCGCATAGACTCTAGCCTTGGCTCCTTCATTCATCCCACCAGGCTACTGTGCCCATATATTGCGTAATTGTGCCGTTTCTGTCTTCAGCCTGCAGCTTGAGCACACTGTTCACTATTTCGTGCCTTTTCCGCACTGCATGAGGAGTCCTCCTGCTCCGTGTCCGACTCGTCCCTGACTAACGCCACAAAGTCGGATAATAATATGGATTGATTTCTAGGTTCGGCGCCAGCCCCATCTACACGTGGACGGGTCTGATACGGGACTCGATTGATTCTCGCTACATTCGGGTAGTGGGCCTTGTATGGCGATCGTGGTCGTGATGCCAGGTCGTCTGTATCGGTTCGAAATCTCATCCGAAGTCACCTCCACTTTCGCTCCCAACTTTGATGCCTCTGGCCGCCTCCTTTCAACTCGATTTTCGTGTTTCTCGGTCGACACGGGTGCTTTGGCACCGCCTGTCATGATCGGGATTAATACAGGAATAGTCGTATTACAGGCCACCATCAAGGGGGAAGTGAACGAGCACTGTTTCGATTCCATAAGTATAACATCTTCATCGAGCTCTTATGTGCTAGCGCTGTTCAAGTTGGCAGCGATCAACACAATCACCAGACACAATGTGCCTGTCTCAAATTGGTAACGAAAACTGATGCTTCTGAGGGACAGACCAGAGGCATTTATATTTGCACAATCTTCCACAGAATACAAACATCGAAATTCGACCGACTACAAACTGAACGCGTCTCATACGACACAATTCAATGCGGCAATGTCTGCGCAGCGAGCCTGGTCACAGCACGGCCACGCACGGCCGTTGCACGAGCCAAATAGCGTCTGGCACGCGAAATCGCTACACTGTGTGCGTAAGGACCAGCGGCCATGCAAGTCACAACACAATTTTCGACGTGAAGAAATTGTGACAACGTGAGCTCGCACGAAAGCGGTAAGGCGGAATCGACCGGGGCAACGAAAAAGCGACTACAACTCGAGCGTGGTCGGAGATGTCGAAGCTCGAGCGGGAACAACCTGTACAAATCAACTGAGTGGTAATAAATAGTGCGACTCTGAGATCGTCCATGTCATAGTCACATGATTGTGACGACTCGCGTATTCCTTGTCACGCCCGCGTTCAACGCCGCGCCCTAGCCTCTCGTTCCATCCTCCAACAGTCATATGCAGGTATAACGTTGAAATGGAGGACACGGAATTCTTAGCTTTCGGTCTGCCTGGGGCACTCCTTGCCGACGACCCATCGCTGGACAATGCTTCACAACATAGTACCTCCGGGGGCAATAGATTCTCAATGGGCGGTTTACTGCTGAATGAAGAATCCTCGTCAGAGAACTTGCGTAGTAACCAATGCCGGAGGATAGCGCAGATTGGGCCAGAATGCGTGCATAAACTTGGTACCGTCGCTTATATTCTTTCATATTTCGACCATACTCTGAACGGCTTGCATTCGCAGATGGAAGTGCTACGCGGGATGTGTTTGTGCTGAATGGGCTGCTTTGCGAAAGCGTCGAAGAAGCTGAAGGTATGTAAGGTAGCTCCATGCGAGGTTAAAACATTAGATTACGAATGCGGTATTCGGCAGTGGAGGGTGATTCCCGGGCACCACGAGCAACTGAGACGGTGGTAGAATCTGTCAGCTCTCAATCGCAAGGTGCGCCAATGTTCACACGTTTTTATGGTTCCTACTCGTTGATGTTCTTGGGCCTGTAGAATTTCCCGAAATCAGAGACCTCCTGAGGCCATATGCTCGAGCTCATGCAGGTCTTACAGAGTCTCACAGTTCGTATAAATCTTCAACCCCACCGCTTTCCTTACGGGCATCTACTTTCGACGGGCAGACAGTTTTTCTGAGACGTAAATCTCGTCGGAAAGAGTGTGGGGCTTCTCATGTGAGTAAGTGAAAGCCGGTAAAGATGAATATTTGAATCTACAATTTTATAGATAACTGCTGATCCTACCAGTGGTGGTTCAGGCACAGGAAGGCAATACTATAGTAAACTGCTTGATGTACCAATACATCGTCTCCTGGATCAATTGGCAACCGAAACAGCCATGAAATTTTCTCACTCGTTCGTGTATTATGCTAGCTTGTGCTTCACGATATGTTTATACCCTTCACCAGTGATACTGAGGTCACGACTACCGTCAACCAGCCATGTTCTTCAACGAATCCGGATGCCAGCCTTTGGGTCGACCGATATCGTCCCCGCAGATTTACCGACCTCTTGGGGGACGATCGCGTCCATCGCGAAGTGATGGCCTGGGTAAAGGAGTGGGACTTTTGTGTATTTGGTCGCCGCCAGCCACGGGGTCAGAAACGTCCACGGGGAGACGATGGCGAGAATATGGATCAATGGCGACGACCGCCCGAGAAGGCAAGATATTTCGAAATATTATCATGAAAGTGTTCGATAATTCATGTGATAGATTCTGCTGCTGTCTGGCCCTCCTGGAATGGGCAAGACAACATTGGCACATGTGGTGGCGCAACATGCTGGCTACAGTGTTTTCGAAATAAATGCCAGGTCGAGTTCCGCCCAAACGATACTTATATCTGAATATTGATAACCGCTTTGATTCAGTGATGCTCGATCCGCTCAAGTCATAGAGGAAAGACTTCGCCCTATACTGGAGACGGGATGTACTGTCGGAAGTACCAAACCTACCTTAGCCGTCATCGATGAAATTGACGGTGCGACTGGTGGTTCGGACAATGTATGCGCCCTCTTCAGTGATGTTGGTGCTCGCCTCAAAGCATAACTTTTCAGTCAGCCGGCTTCATTCAGAAGCTGATTTCATTGACGTATGACAAACCAAGAAAGAAAGGTCAGCCCGGTATTCGGAGACCCTTAGTATCTCGCATCTCAAGTCATCACACCAGGCAGGAAAATCGATCCGAAGGCGTCTCGTCCCCTTCTACGGCCAATCATATGTATTTGTAACGACTTATATGCAAGTTCTCTCACGAAGCTGCGCGCATATGCGCGCGTTATCCGATTTTCTCGGCCAAACGATATACACCTAGTTCGAAGATTGCGGGATATCTGCGAAATCGAGGGCTTGCGAACCGAGTCACGGGCGTTGACGACACTAGTTGGAGTAGCTCAAGGTGACCTGCGAGGATGCCTTAATATGCTACAGGTCAGGCGATTTTTTGATCAGAAACATTATACTCCCAGTTAATCTATCGTTCTCCGTAGCTCATGAAGGCCCGCGGTCGAGACGTCACCGAACCTGCCGTGCGCACAGCTACAGCTGGGATGAAAGAGACGGAAGCATCGCAAACATCAGTCCTCAATGATCTCTTCACTCCCATGCCGCGGAGACGTGCGAAGGAGCTGGGAATCACCGAAGAGGAGGAAGCCCGTTATGTAGGCCGGCTCAGTCGTGAAATCGAGAGTAGTGGAACACTGGACAGGATCGCATCAGGCAAGTACCCTGTACCCTGTAGGTACACCTTTTGTCTGATCAATAGTTGTCAGGATGCTTCGAACACTACGCAACTGTCCACCGTCACGACGCAAACTTTTCACGATATTTGAAAGCAAACTATTGGTTGACTGCTTACGATGTCATGTCGGGCGAGATGTGGAGCGAGCGCGAGTATGCGCTGATGCAATACCTTCCATACATGCTAGTTGCCTTCTATCCTTTATTCCAAGAAAGGGGAGGGTGCAAGGTGGAACGTCCCAAGGTCGACTATGAAGTAAGCCATTGTTTTGTTCTTTACTGAGGTTCAACTCTGACTGGGGCGTGCAGAACTATGTGATCACCAAAGCGAACGAAGAGATCTATAAATCCTTGGTGCATTGTCTGTGTTCTGCTGCTGCGCGCAATGGTGGTGACTACAGACACTTCGCAAGCGAATCAGTTCTCCGATTAGAATTTGTGCCCTTGGTTAACCGAATCATTTCTCCCCCTCTCAAACCGGCAAGTCTCATCACCGTCAGCATGTTTTTGTCTAATACATGTCACTACCCAGGTCAATCGTCAGATTATTCGCCCTGGAGAAAGGGCGGTCTTGGATAGGCTGGTCAACATCATGGTCTCTATGGAGCTCCGATTTGTGCAAGAAAAGATGGAGGACGGTCAACTCATGTTTAGACTAGATCCGTGAGTCTGTCGCTGTGGCTCTTGCTGCGCTAATTCAGACCGATCTTTGTAGACCTATAGATGTCTTTGTTACCTATGATGGAAAGCGAGCCGCAGATATCGCTGTCTCAAAGTATGCTGTCAGGCATTTAGTGGCGACTGAGGTGCGTGTAGTTGCAAGAATCGTGTTGAGCTTTGCATCGAAGATAGTCGCATTTCATCTCCTCAGATTGACGCACGCCTAGTGTCAATACAGGCTGATGCCGTTGAAAGGAGTAAACCAAGTAAAGCAAGCTTCTTCAAGAAGGGGTACGTTCTGGTTGGCATTCATAATATCAGACCCGTTGACCGAGGAACAAGCAGCTCCAAAAACCGCGACGCGGACGAGGAGGAGCCTGAACTAATCACCAGCAAACGTGTCCGACAAGAGCAATCAAAGCCTGAAGAAAAGGTGAGACTGCTCATTCTTTTTAGATGTCTTCTCATTTCGATGCTTGCAGATCGCTGTTGACTTTTTCGGGAGGCCCATCACTTCCGCTTCGGGAAGTAACAACAAGAAACCCGCGAGCAAGAAAGTCATTCAGCAATATCGGGTAAAGTTTCGGTTCCGCGAGGGTAACTCCGCTGCTGTACGAAAGCAGGTAAAGGTCGGGGCTTTCCTTTGATGCCCCCTGTATTGGATGTATACCACACCTGAGAACTGTTAAATTATTTACTGGAGACGGATGTAGACTGCAGACAAAGTACAATACTACTGATTCATGACCAGTTCGACTGCACAATGTTCAAATACGAATAGTTTGGAAGATCTGACATACTAAGTAGAAGATACTTTGAAAGCAGTAATTTACCTCACTACAGTGTGCGCGGGAAGCGGCGAGCAAAATGTCAGACGAAGTTGCCCGTCTAGGTACGGAGATGTAGAATTACTTATGCGTGATCGCGCATGCTGAGTACATCATGGTGCGCGCCCTAGGCGACAGGTTCGAAAGTCGAATGAGCGTCATGATACAGGCTACCATCTTGAGGACTGTCGGCCAGACGATATGCAGGCCGTATGCAGGCAGACCGAAGGTACTGAACCGTGAAACACACGAGTAGAAAGTCCAGGTAAGTATGATGTGATGGTGTCGGTTGGTGATTGACTTTCTATGGTTACATCCCGATAGCACTCTGAGCGAGCGAAGAGACTTTAGTTGTAGGTTCACAACCAGAACGAGTGCCAATATCAGTTCTTGGAGGAGATTGCATCTCAATCTCAGAAAAAGCCTCACCAGCACATGACTCGATATCTGTAAAGGCCGTACTGGAAGCTAAGAATCCATACACGAGGACGACGATGAGAAGATGATATGTAGTAGTGGCACTATGATTCTATATGATTTGAGCGTCTAAACAATTATTATTGGTCCACAAAAGGCAAGTTTTCCAAGTTTTATGACCCTGCTTCATTCAACGATCATCTCAGACGGCTGTTCGCTATCACCCACAAGGCCATTGATACTCATCCGGGCTGCTACCACAGGTACTGTTTTGGATCAGTGTTAACACTAGTCACATCGTAAGGGATCTCGGTGTTGTGGTGATAGCCACCCTATCAACACGCCGTGGTATTCATCGTGCATTTGCTGTGTTCGAGAACATTCACCCTGTTTGTTAACCATATCTTTGCTATTTGGGTCGTGAGACCACCTTCATATTCGAGGTACAGTTGCGTGTTCGCGAGCCATGTCAGCGCTGGGACTAGAGCATGAGGGGAAGCCTAACCCGCTGGGTTCTGAGGGGAGCTCGGCAGTCCATGTGCGGCAGTGGCAACTTGAACCAGAGACTGAGTATAGGTTCGAACTTGACCCAGGTAACTCATTGGCCATCAAGGTGCGTCCGCCCTCCGCAATTTTATCAGAGAAGCCGCTTCGCACTCGTCGTGGTAACGAACTTCGTCTGTATTGACCTCCTTGCAGCTTGTAGATGGCCAGGCGGAGATATTTGGAGCGGAACTCGCGGAGGGAAGCATTTATGTGTTCGGCATGGAATGCAAGGCTGCGGTGTACACCTGGCAGGGGTGCACAATTGAGATGAGTGTTTTCATAAAATGACTGTTCTTTGGTCCTTATTTGATTTCCATCTACACGTCACTGGCCAAGCGTCGACTGAATACATATCTGAGGAGACGCCCATGAACGCGTACGCAAATGTACACCTCGCCCTGGAACAAATGCGTGTTCGTGCACTACGTGTGATTCACGGATCCCCCCCGTCAGATGATGATGAGGCCGACATGGATCCCAATCCCGAGCCTCCCCGTGTGTTGGTTCTTGGACCTGAAAATTCTGGGAAGACAACCGTTTCGAAAATACTTGTCAACTATGCGGTGCGCATGGGACAAGATTGGAATCCAATTTTTGCCAATGTGGATCCCGGTGAAGTACGTTGGGGTGTTCTTATGGCCTTTATTCAACCACGATGACTGACGCGTCTCCAGGGTGGTTGGGCAGTTCCTGGAGTTATTTCGGCCGCGTCAATTACGGCTCCTCTACAGACATCCTCTCCTGCCGCGACCTTGGGGTCTGCAGCTACCTCCGCGCCCGTTCACCTTGTATCAAACGAGTTACTTCCACTTTCGTATTGGTATGGCCATGCGGAGACGCGAAGGAATCCTCTACTCATGGACAGGTTGATTCGAAATCTCGGAGAAAATATTGCAGAGCGGTGGGATGCCGATGCTGAATGTGAGACTGCACTTTTGACAACCTTCTGTGGCGGATGATGCTCAAGGTCCATTTGTCAGGTCGAGCAGCGGGTCTGATTGTAGATACCCCTGCCTCTTTTGCCTCGAGTTCTGGGCCGCAGGGAGATCATAGGCACGCACTTATCAAAGCGTGCGTAGATGCCTTTAGAAGTGAGATATGGTGACTTGGTTCATACCCGAAGCTTACCAGGGGGTTCTAGTCAATGTGATTCTGGTGGTGGGTCATGAAAAACTCAATGTCGAGATGCAAAGAGCGTATGGAAACCGAATATCGATCGTCAAGATTCCCAAATCCGGTGGTGTGAGTCCTTGCCATTTACGCCTCTCTCAATGGCATCACGCTGATGCGCTGCATATGATAATGCAGGTGGTCGAATTGGACAGTAGTTACCGCGAGCGTGTACGGAAGTACCAGCTACAGAATTACATGTACGGCAAGGTCATTCCCCCTCCCCCAGGCCTTAGCGCGTTGCCATATCTTCAGGGAGGCGAGCAGACCTCAGACCTCACCCTTAACCTAGCACCGTCGTCATCGGTGATCATGTTCAGTGATCTTGTTATATATCGCATTGGTGAAGGTAAGCTATCAGAAACCACTCGTTTTCTTCGGTTATTCATCCTTCGTTTCGGCCAGAAACGATGGCTCCGACGTCTGCGCTACCTATTGGTGCCGCACGGGTTGTGTCGGAGATGCAGCCGCTTATAGTCGATCCCGCACAGCCTGGCTCCGGCCTCTACAATGCCGTCCTCGCACTCCTGTCGCCCCCCAATCCGGACGAATCGGAGCGTTACGACGAAGAGATTCTTGATCTGAGCGTTGTTGGTTTCTTGGTGATGTGAGTGTCTGCTCGACAACGTGCCATGCGCTGCGGCTCATACCATGATGATGTTATAGAACCGCTCTAGATATTCCCAACAAACGGATGACAGTCCTCGCCCCAGGGCAAGGGTCTTTTGCGGGCCGTACTGCCATTGTGGGGTCATTTGAATGGCAGGAGTGATGTTTACGCCACTTTGTACTCGAATTCAATCCTCAGCAGTAGCACCATGCATGTACTTGTTACAATTTGAAGACGGTAACATAGTCATAATTAAATTAGCAGTAAGGCTATAAATAGAGCCTGGGCGCGGACCCGGGCAGGGAGCCCATGTCCGCACGTCGCCGATGACATCAACCTCCGTGCGCCCGACGCGCCCCACAGGCAGCCCTCTTATATCCCCCTCCCCGACGCCCCGACGCCTCTATCCACGACTTTGACCACGACCACGACCCCCGCCTCGCTCTGCACCGCGTTCCCGACACCCAGGCAGCCACCATCGACCTTCTCCAGCGGCCGAATATCCACCAGCGGCCATGCTGCCCGCAGCAGCACGTCGTGCTGGCTGCTCGCTCGGACACCTTGGTCTCCTGCGCGCAGGAATATCCACACGGCCACTCCGTACCCAACTGCGTCCATTCCCAGAGCGCGACTTCTTCACTTCTGCTCGCGCACTCGTCGTTGGACCGAGTACGTCGCAGCCGCTACCACCGCCTCCGCGGGCCACGTTCTTGAAGCGTGCGCGCACAGTTGCTCGATACTCGTTTTACCTGCTAGGCTCGACCGTCGTCGGCGCGGCAGTTCTCACGTCTGCGATCTTCCTCCACGACGCGTTTACCTACACTGATCGTGTGCGTTAGCTCTTACTCGTTCCGCTGAGTTGATTTGCTCATCTTCGTCTCCCAAATCTGCCAGCACATTGATGGTGTCCCGGTTTCCCCCCTTGCACTCAACCCCGAGCGCGGAGGTCCGAAGAATCTTCCCATTCTCCGGCGGTTGCTCAGTGACTATGAAGACACGGACAACTCCGACTTGGTCGAGAAACCCCACCTTGTCATCGTCGGAGGTGGCTGGGGAGTACGTCTATAGCCCGAAACCCAAGTCTCGCTTACTGACACTACGTTAGGCAGTAGGTATCCTGAACACTCTGCGGCCTGGCGACTACCACGTTACGGTTGTCTCTCCTGAAACGTATACCACATTCACGCCACTGTTACCCTGTACGAAAGTCTGATCATTCAATTCTCTCCCGTTCACTAATGCTATGCTCAATTTGCTATATAGCTGCGGCAGTCGGTACTGTACAGTTGCGTTCGCTCGTAGAACCACTCCGGAAAATCATTGCGCGCCTACATGGCCATCTCGTATATGGTAGTGCTATGGACCTCGTCATGAGCGAACGTCTGCTTGAAGTGGAGGTTAATCGCATACAGGGGGACGGGAGCAAGGTTACTGAGCGGATCTATGTCCCGTGAGTACACTTCAAGTACTCATGCCATCGAATTGCATCGAGTGGATCTGCATTCTTCATGCGCCTGACGACTAACATGCGGATGTAGGTATGACAAACTGGTAATTGCGGTCGGTTCAACGAGTAGTACGCACGGTGTTCCTGGATTGCAGCACTGCTTCCAGTTGAAGACAATCAAGGATGCACGGAAAATTAGACAACGTATATTAGGTACGTCAGGATTTTGTCCTGCTTCCTAGAATCCAGCCCAGACTTTGTCTGAAATTGATGACACAGACAATTTCGAGACCGCCTCGCTACCAACAACCACACCCGAGGAACGAAAACGCTTATTGAGTTTCGTCGTGTGCGGTGGTGGACCTACAGGAGTGGAAGCGGCAGCGGAGATCTACGACTTATGCCAGGAGGACGTGATGAATTATGTGCGTATCACGCCCATCGTACTGATTATAAGTATGATGTTGATTGTGCTCATGTAGTATCCTAAAATCTGCCGCGAGGAGGTTTCGATTCACCTGATTCAAAGCCGGGAACACATCCTGAACACGGTGCGCGCCCTTTACTTGCAGCTCCAGTGAAAGGGCTGACGAAGTAATCTACGGTTCAGTACTCTGAGGCAATCTCGAGATATGCGGAGGTACGCTTACCCTTTCCATACTCATACACGCGCTCTTCTCAGTATCTAATTCCTTGCACAATGCCTAGAATAAGTTCCTGCATGATGATATCGATCTCATCACATCCGCCCGAGTGGCGGCAGTGCACGATGACCGTGTGGAGTATTCGATACGCGGGGAGGACGGAAAACGCGAGACTCGTTCCATTCCAACAAACTTTGTGCTGTGGAGCACGGGAATCGCAATGAACCCATTCACGGAGCGTGTATCAAATCTGCTGTGAGTCTTATACATTTTTAGGTACCTGAGTTGCTCATCCGCTCATTCCGTACTCGTGGACGGATGATCTCAGGCCAAATCAAGTGCACAAGAAAGCCATTGAGACAGACGCGCATCTACGAGTCAAAGGCGCACCGGTCGGTGAGGTGTATGCTATCGGTGACGCGAGCACGGTGTGTTTAATATTATTTTAGTCGCTGATACTCCGAGATATTGAAAATGACTACGCAGATCGAGACTTCAGTGGTCAGCTACCTCTTGGAACTTGTTGATGAAGCGGACAAGAACAAGGATGGGAAAATTGACTACGACGAGTGGGAGATAATGGGTATGTTCCATAGTCCTGCATTTGCGGACCGACTCAGATCCTTGTGATGCAGTCAACCGCATCAAGGCCCGCATTCCTATGGCTGAGTCGCAGCTGCAACAAGTGCGTATAGTCGACTCCTTACTTACTTGATGACATCTCAGTGCCACCCTTATTGATAGGTCCGGGAACTATTCGACCTGTACGACAAGGACGCAGATAACAGCCTCACGCTCAACGAACTCGCGGTACTTCTACAGGAGATTGGGAACAAGATCACGGCATTGCCTGCAGTGCGTTGCTTTGCGATCGTCTCCTTGTGTCTGCTGACTGTATTTCCTGACGGCTAACCTCAGACGGCACAAGTAGCATCCCAGCAAGGCAAGTATCTCGGGAAGAAGTTCACAAAGCTGGCGAAGCAGCGGGACGTTCTTATCATGAACGGCGTCGCGGACGGGCCAGGTGCAGACGAGGCTGTGTCGGGGCCGTTCAAATATTTGCACCTCGGTTCACTCGCGTACGTATCTCATGCTGAGCATCTGCCAGGCTGATGTTGCTGACAGCTAGCATTTATATAGGTACATCGGGAATGCGGCGGTATTTGACCTGGGCAAGATGAGTTTCATGGGCGGACTCGCCGCCATGTACGCGTGGAGGAGTGTGTACTGGAGCGAGCAGGTCAGCTCCCGGACGCGGGCGCTGCTCATGATAGATTGGATTGTACGGTGTGTGGTGGTTTATCTCCTTACCGCAACGTTCACGCATTGATGTTTGTTTGTTTGTAGCGGCGTATGGGGCAGGGACCTGTCGCGACTGTAATTCAAGCCATGAAAATGTACTTGCACCGCACGGGCCATAGGGGGCTGTACGTACTTTAAGTATATAGATGTACTGTCTTGGATAATGTCATGTGTTTGTAGGACTTTAAGATGGGTATGGGCCGACGCAGGTTCTCATGCCCATTTTTCGACTGGTCGTTAGGGAGTTTATTGTATGTCCCTGTAAATGGTACAATTACAATCAGTAGAATGCACTACGATGTGACCATATACCTGGTAATGATGGCAGCCCAATATTCAAAACCCAGACATAAGCGGCCACCTGCGGAAGGCTTCATGGAATCAGATTTCACAACGCACGGGCGAGCTGATCAATATACCAAACGATTCGCTGCAAAGACAGTGAACTATTCAAATATGGATCATAGCCAAGGCCCTCCCCGGTAGTAGTGGTTTGCACTGCTTTAACAGCCATTCTGTCGCTCGATCGTTGGCAAAATCTTCCGAGTTAGCAAAGTGCAACCTCGAAATCAACTTGAAGTTGCACGTGTGGAACCGTGAACGCTAATTTAAAGGAACCGACTTACACAATAGCCGCTGGCGAGATACAGGGGCGGACATCCGACGCTGCCTCTCCTAGACTCCAGCTTCTATCATCTTGCGCGACCAGCAACGGCTCGTTTTCGCTTCTAGAAAGTTGTGCTACGTACCTTCGGATCGCTCCTCGGCTGGTCGTCTTCGTTTCACAAGGTGTTCTCGACGCTCTGATTAAAGGAGAGAACAGAATACTAAATTTCAGTACGTGAGTGAACGTGAATATGTGCTGATAGCTGCGTCATTTATTGCATTTAGTTCGTTTACAATGAATCTCTTGAACCTCAATGATGACGTCCTTGATGCTATCTTGTCTCACCTGTCCTCCAAAGATGCAGTTAGGCTGTCTGCTACATCCCGAAGAATCCAATCCATGGCTGCTCGCCGCGCAGTCCGTCACGTCCTAATCCACGACAATATGCAACTGCATCAATTTTGCGTATATATGCTATCGGAATTTGTCGAGCGTCCATCATATCTACGGGGACTTAGTATCCTGATCAATTCGTTCAATAACCTGGGAAGCATGGTTCCTGTTGATCCTGCATTTCCAGACGTTCTCAGAGCTGCACACAACTTGAAGGTTCTAAAGATAAGAGAGACCGAGTTTTTACTGAAGCAGTCTCCCGGGCTCTCGGATGCGATAATATCACTATCGAAACTCGTCAGTGTCGATTTCCATTTCGGAGGCGATGCAACCGCCCTAGTGATCCATAGTATGCAGAGCACACCCAGGCGACTAGCTGTTGAATTCATTGAGTCCACGCCGGGCGTCCTCCCGTCATTTACCAGGCTCTCCAATCTTCCTAATCTACACTCTCTCGACTTACACTCTGCACGTATCATAGAGCCTACTGAACCGGACGTCCGTCACTCTTGGCCCTCCGCGCGCGAATTGAGGCTACAGTCCTGCTCTGGGTCGATGTCAGTTTTCGTCCAAGCATTTCCAAACCTTCGAGTTTTGTCTTTGAGCAACGTCTCAAGTGGAACAAGCCAGGGGGAGCCGATCACTGCTTGTTGGCCTCGTCTTGAAAAGCTTTCTGCACGCCTCCCCCGGGACCTGGAACAGTGGCGAATTACATGCCCCGTCCATTATTTACTCTACGGTAATGCCATTACATATGGTGACGAGGTGGAAAACGTCTGCCTCGGTATCAGAAATTCCACCCCGATTGTACTTTCATTGTCAATCGTGGCCACGTTCGTTCAGTGTTGGACGAATATCGTGAAAGATAACCCTCGCCTGAGGGCCCTTCATTTGTGTCTCATTGACAGAGGGCGGTATTATGGCCCGGGGCCGTGCAATCTGTCTGCATGGATGGTGAGGTTCGGATCCCTCTGCTCTGGAGATGAGACTGACTCACTACATCTAGGACCATGTTTTACCAGTGCTAGGGGAGTCTAAGGTGATGTTCCTTCGTTTGGAGATCGTCGGACTTCCGCCTGTCGAATACAGAGATGTAGACGAAGTGATCGCGGAGAGATACTCCACCCGGCTGGCGAGCGAAGTTCCAGCACTTCAATGTCTGGCATTAGAGATCATACCGAACCCTGCTGATAACATCTGGCCCACCGAATCGCAGAGACGCGGCTGGTGGTGGCAAATCATCAACGACAATGGCACACGAAAACTAGTGTCCATTCCGAGAAGAAAAGGAATGCGAGTGCAGGACTACATGACCTCCGTTGCTTTTGAGCCCTCAATGACGAGTATTGGTGCGTCAATTGTGTAGAGTGTATGGGACATTTGCTGATATGGCGATTATTAGAAGCATTATTGCATTGATTATTGAACCATCTTAAGACTTATAGATGGTCTCTTCCCTTCCCTCTCTAATTGATTAACGTCTTCATGGTATATATTGCTCCATATTGTTTCTATTTTCGCAATTTGGCAAATTTGCCTTGACGGAGATTCGGGGACGATTCTGAACAATGCTATTTATCAGTTTCAGACGCTCGTGAAATCGTTTCTCGCGAAAGCAGCAAGCGTGCTGACGGCTGGCAAACCCAACCGGATTCCTCAGACCGTTCGCTCATTGGACTTGCTAGTTCTGCACACAAGTTTTGAGCGACCGCGTTGGACCTTCGGAATATCATTTTCAACGAGTTCAAGGCTCCTATCTGACCTCTTCTACACATCTGGTCTGAGAGGCATCGATGTGCACTGGGTTTCCTAAGGGTTTTAAAATGCGGGCCGGTATGAATGCGGCTGCGACCAATTCCACCAGTTGCAAAGGGACGTTCACTCTGAAGTATGTCTACTGTGCTAGAACCATTAACTCATCAGATCAGGTTTCTTGCGTATTGCGTAGCTACTAATTAAATATTTGCAGCTCCAGTCACTGGCGGTGTCAATGTGAGACAGTCTAGATCATCCGAGTCTGTCCGTCTATCCTTTCTCCCTCTCAAAGCCCTCAAGCTAACGTCGCAAAACCAACAGATGTGTTATCGACGTTGAAAGCGCTGTATACGTTGACCAAGAACCTGTAGGAGTTTGATGGTTAGTTTATCTTCTCCGCGAGTGCGATGCACATCAGCTCTGAGCACTTACGCATCTCCCACCAGCCAGACATTGTCTCCCATTCCCATATCCACCCCGATTATCGCGCCCATACAGGTACCTTCTTCCAGCTCTCCGGCATTGAAACTAATGACAGACGTTGGTACAGCGCTTGTGTAACAGAGGGACAACGTACCTATCAGCAGACATCTGGAAGTCGTTCCCACCCCAGCTAAAGGAAACTACCGGGCTCGAATCGCACGAAAAGCTGTAATATCCCTCTTCGAATTGAGATGCGCCTTCGATTCCCTGGTAGACTTGTGCGACCACATCGGGAGGTCCGTAGATGAGCGATGTCCCTGAGTCAATAACCTGCGACCAAATTGACTCGACAGGGCTGGGGATCAAGAGAGTGACACGTACCGTTTCAAAGTCACTCGCGACGCTCTGGCCACTGATGCTAATGCTCGCACCGCCGATCTGCCAGTAGCCCACATCTGAAACGAGCGGATGGTACTCGATCGATCCTGTGTAGCGTGAAGAGTCCGTGCCACCGAGGAAGAGCTCTGAGTCATTCCCGGCGAGGTAGAAGCCAAACACGCCTTCGGGGACAGCGTTCTGCGCAATAGCGGTCCAGAAGAACGGATTCTAAACCAAGGAAAATAGTTGTCAATGACTTGTCGATATATCCAACAGGCAGGGTATGTAACCTGGTTCAGAACTGAAAGTGCAGGCCATGCCATTCCCACAAGGCCATCCACAGGAAGCTCCGACAGACTCCCACTTTCCTGGGCCACAACGCCAAAGTACTGTGCAGTGACATTCACACCAGCAATGTTCACTTCAAACAAATTTCAGTCCCGTCAGCGTCATATCCTTCATCACGACCAACAGATCGTACCGACGTCCGTGTATACCTCCCCGGTCGCGCCGCTCGTGTCATCGCCTCCACCATACGCCTCTTCGAAAGTCCCACTCTGCTGTGCACTCGTACTCGAATCCTCAGGGTTGTACGTGTCTTGTCCCTCACAGCCGGAGCAGCTAGTCGAGGCCACGAAGAGGTCTGCTGAGCCTGTGTCAAAATCCATCATGAAGGTTTGCGGGGGTGTCCCGATTGTGATTGTGCCTCTCCATAACAGATATTCGTCTTCATCGAGGAGCTCCACACCTTGCTGTGTGGATGTGGGAACAGCTCCAGATGTCTGTGTGGGCACCGGCGTCGCTACAGGTGCAGTGGCGCTAGACGGGATGTGTGCACCGTGGCGATAGTTCGTCAGGCCAACCTTGTTGTCGATCACCATAAGGTTTTTGCGGTGTTTGCTGGTGAGTTCGCAGAGTCGATTCAAAACGCGAGACAGAAAGAACTAATAAGCACATACTTGATCGTTCGAGCAGTCATGTCGAGGAGCCTGTCGAAAGTGAGAGTGTCATTCAGCATACTGAGATCGATGCGCTTTTTGATGGGTATACGAACTGGCCCGGGGCCCAGCTCTGGTTGTGTAAGCGAGGACGTCTTTGTCCCAGGATTGAATGGAATTTTAGAGAACGCAGACGAAGTTGGGACGACAGTCGAAGTCGGCTTGACGCTGTCTGGAGGTGCGGTCGAGAGCACAGGCGGCGGCATCGTTGGGATCGACCCATGCCCCCTGGATATATCACCTGAGAGCTCCGAAGGGACCGTTATGGGCTCGTAGAAACGTCCTGTTGGAGATGCGGATGCAAGAAGACCAAGCGCAACGGTGAGTAATGACACTTTGCAGAACATATTACCTGTGCTTGGAAGGATAGTGTAAGTTGGTGCCGAGAGGCTGTTTTCAAAGGAGTGAAAGTATGCTCGTTGACTGCTTGAGATGAGTATGGCTACTTATATGCAGGTTAGACAAGTGGCCATGATTCTCAGCGGCATCTCGAATGAGACGAATCATTTCGCAGGTGAGATATGTCAAATGACTCGGATGTGGCCATGCTATTATGATCACCATCAACACAGCGTAAGGGAGAGCTCGTCTGAGAACATTTCTCAAGTTTTCCTTGGGTCACACAAGACACAGTGGCTAATAGGAACTGCTTGATGTAATTATGCAACTGTGATCTTCTGGGAGGTTCCATTTCGTTCACATAGTTACGCTCAAGTACTGATCGTTGGAATTCCTCCCAAGGTCTGACGTTCAAGCTCGTCGCGACGAGTATGGCTCGATGATCACCTTCATCATCGATGCCATTGACGCCAACCGAGTTATCCGCTTACCTTTACCTGAACTACGAGAAAAACTTCCGAGTAAGTTCAACTGGTAATGAAATAGCTTCATCAGGAAAACTGCCCCGCGCTAATTATTGCTATAGCCCTGCTAACGCACGCTATGTTTCCAATATTGTATCTACCCCATCTATTCGTTGTTATTCTAATGTACTCTGGTAACCAGGCACCATATCTGCAACATGATTTCTAGTCTTTGTCAGTGATCAGGCAGACTGATCCATCATTTATAGTTTCAACCTCAAGAGCTTTCAAGCTTTACAGCAGCAATGTAAGCCCCCTAAGGTTAATTCTAAGCTAGCCTCTACTTTCATGATGTTTCTTCCGGGCGCAGCTCATGATTTTCCCTTGCTTACTATCCATATGAATTGAAATCTTGAGCAATTCTAATGACACTGATACTGATGGATCCTGTGTCTGTCACACAAGATAGGTCAAGAATCTCTGATCATATTCAAAGTTCTGTCACGTCCGAGTCTCGTGTGCACTCTACCTTTGGCTCAGTTGTCTTGCCGCGCGAGCCAAGTTGGTGCTTCACCTAAGCATGCTTGTTCAGTTGTCTCATTGAACTTTATCTACCCGTTCTTGGCATACAGTTGCGGCAGAAACCTGACACGATATACAAGAAAAGTAGTCTTCTGAAAATAAAACCAGCATACGTAGAACATGGCAGGATAGTACACAAACAAGTAAATCCAACAAAAAAGCAGTGGCATCGTCCATAAATCCACACTGTTCCATACCAGAGTCCCCGCAATACATCCGCCAAATCTTGAGTACTCATCGTCGTCGTACTCATCGTCCCAGTCACCAGGATCCATCAACGCCTGTCCGCTTTTCGAGAGTATCGCAACTGGTGGAGCTTGCACCAGGATGTCATTTGGATCAACCTCCTCGTCACTGTCACCATAGATATCATCTTAGGCACTCTGAGCGGCGCCAGCTACGCTTACGGACGCAGCGAGCGTAGATGACCATCTAAGTTCGCGTTGGTCATCTATATTTGGCCCGCGCGCCATTGAAAGCCATATCTGGCCGAGCAACCTGCAGCGGTGCGTTGGAGGGAGTTGAGTTGGATTAAGTTGAGGCAGAAGGTTGCCGCAGCTGCTTTCTTTACAAGCACCCCATCCCTTCTCCATCGTGCCGCCAGTTTCCTGTACACCGAGAGCTTGGGCATTGGCGCACAGATAATCGTGCAGAGATGAAGTCGTTTTGAGCGCGAAAAATAACTCACGTATATGAATGTTGTACGCGGGGGCAGCGAGCGTGGCGGGTGATATTGTTGTTCACCCAAGTTCCGACGCGGTGACTACGATCGCGCAGAACGCCGCGATGGATCATACACTCTATCGCGTTGGTACTTGGTAGTGCGAATCCCGCTCCGAGGGGTATGTCTTCCTCTCGTAGAGCAGCTCGGCGACTCCGTGCCCCCACTTGGAAGTATTTATTCCAAGTGCTTGCAATAACTTGTCGCTTTCAAAACGGGGACAGCGATAAATATTCTTCGGCTCGTCGAGCCCTACATCGTTGCTCATGTTTGCGTAGCGAATAGATGATATGAGAATGTATGATGAGCCGTTGGGACGAATGCTTGAGCATCTCGTCAGCATCCAGAGAATCACAGCTCATGGCTCAAATGCTACCTAGTACAAATTGAATACCTTCCTAGTTTGAGTACGATCTGGAAGGCGAAGCCTTCCAGAATGTCTCTGCACAAGGAGTGGTCGGTTGATGGTTCACGGATCTATATTGCGCGAAAGTCTCATTGATCGCGGCGTATCTCAGGAATGTCTGAAATCCTCCTAATTGGTACAAATTCATCCTGCTCATTCAGCCGGTGCCGCGTTCGTCCAGTCGAGATGTCTAGAACGAGTGCAGATGTTGAAGGACAAGACAGGATGTTAAAGGCCAAGTCTTATTGGTGTTGCTAGTCGAACGCTGACTCCTGCCAGTCGCGGAATGCCGACCAGAAGGTAGGAGCTCGGCCCCTCTGGCGCTCTGAGCTCCGCCGCAAAACAGTTTGTTCGTCAGAACGGGCAGTGCATTCTACACACCACTGACTGTGCTGCCCCTGTCAGTCGCACTAAAATGTCTGAACTCAAGCTTTTACCCGGTGATAGGTTTTCTGAGTCGATTCGCTCCTCAATAAGTGCCCGAATCCTCAAATAATCCTGGTTTTCATGAGAATGAAGCCTGTGTGGAAATGGAGAGAAGACAGCTGGCATCGGGTCAAAAAGAATGAATGGGCTTTCGACAATGACGCTCCTGGGACTGAAGATGTCGTCAGCTGTTCGCTAGAACCAAAAGACGAGAACGAGATTGTTTCCAGTGAAACAGAAGATGTCCCCATGTCCGAGTAGTTGGTGTCTATTTCTTGTAAGCTAGTTCATTGGTTGACGTCATTATTCAGCATGTATCAGTATAACCACCTACCTATATGTGTTATTATTGTCGGAAGTAGTCAAACCGGTGATGTGCAATGTGACCTCTCGATGGATGAATATGCATAGCGCGTGTGCTGCGTCAAGGAATGTGTGACAGAGAGCAAACATTGGGAATATCTATAATCTCTTCGTACAGAGGGAAACTGACCACACCTCTGCGACACACGCATATGTGAGTACGGAAGGTTGCAGGACAAATACATGTAAACAATCGTTACTATACATGTCCGTTACTAATAGTCCCGTCTGTATATTGCGAATCTGGAGAAGGACAGTAAAGCATACTAGCGACAAGAAAATAAAACGTGTTTCGCGTGACGGTTCGTTAGGATAACGTTAGGCTGGAAAAGCGGGAAAGAGAGAGCATCGCTGCTAGACGACGATAATACAAGCAATAGAAAGAATAGAAAGTGGGGGGAGCATAACTGATAAAACATATACCAGTATTCAGCCACGCAATAGGTTGGGTTCTACACACAGACATGTCGATAGATCTACATTATCCGAAAGTATGAGAGGCGATTAGAACCCAGGTATGCCGCCCTTGAAACCCATGACGTTTTGCGTTCCAACGACAGACATAGAACCCGGGCTTACCATTGGATGGCGCATTACGCTCTGCATAGCGTACGGGGTGCCCATGCCTCCCATGTTCATTTGGATTTGCATCAACGGGTTCAGTACCATCATGTTCGTGTTCATCCGCTGCATGCCTATATGTTGAGCAGCGTATGCAAGCGCGGTAAAATTGGATATCGCAAATAAATACTGTCCAGACGGCCCAGCAAGGGTAATTGAGTAGATGCAGAGGGGCCTTGCTGGAAACCTTGAACTTATATCTGAGCTTGGACAGCTTGCACTTTCCGCATTGCTTGTAGCTGAGGAACGATGACCGGGTCAGAACATACACGAGAGACATACCTCGTGGAAAGCGAAATCTTGCAAGAGAGAGGTTCGCGCGGAATGAGTATGGAAGATACGCACCATCTCCTGTCTAGCATCCAGAAGCAATTCCTGAGTGTCACAAGACTTGGTGACTCGTTCGCGTTCCTGCGTGTTGTTGACGACAACTTATCCTCACATTAGCTCAGAGTTTATGAAATCAAGACGTCGGCGTACTTCAGCCTGATGTGCCTCAAGAGTCAAGTAGGCATTGGGGATGTCGCGAACAAAGATCCATCAAACCTTGAATACTCCTTTCCACTTGTCCGATGCCCACACGGTATTGCTGCGTGTAAAGTCGACCTATACGTGAGGAGGATCAGCGTAAATACACATTGGATTACTTATCAAGGCGTTTGTTTCCGGGATCAGTAGAGCGCCTGATCTCGTACTTCAGCGACTTATGGACATCATCTTCTGTGTAAGACTTGATGACAAAATATCGCGCCTTCAACAGAATGCTTAGTGGGAAAGATATGATAACAGCAATATCGGCTTACAATGGACGGTGTGTCGAAGTCTGCTTCAGAGTTGTAACCTTTAGTCGCGATGAGTGTACACTGAGTTGGTAACGTTGAAAATAAACTCGGACCGCTTTGTAGGTATCAGTAGAGGCTCCGTTCAACGAACAACGCTCAACCAATGTCGTCTCACGACGATGACGCTCGATTTTTCCTTCCCAGGTAAGTTCCAAATACTGAGATATATAATACTGGATATATATTACCCGACCCTCACCACGATTTATTCGCAGCACTAGAAGAGTCCGAGTGAATAGCGCGAGCGCCGCGCTAACGATCAACGATTCAATGGCTTACTGTCGTTATGGCTCGGCGGTAACCGTCCGAGCGCGTATGTATCGCTCGACACTGCCGCATGCAAGTAACATTGTTGCAAAACCCTGCATTTCTACATCCAAGCCATGAGATCCAGTGAACTCGAGCGAATGAAAACATACCAGAAACGTGTTCATCTCTTTAAGGTTAGTTCCTGGACTTCTGATTATGGAGGCTGAATGGGCTCTGTGCAGGAGACTACTGCCTTGTATATAGAGCTATGCGAACCTTTGTTGACCTCACAATCGAATTCCAAGGGCCGCCCCTCCAATAAGTCCTCTACGCGGACGAGCAACAAAGATACCACTATCACCAAAAGGCAAAGAGAGTCTGTTTCCATGTGACAGAGATTGACATGGCTGTGCCGACTGATTTCGTCAATTTACCAAGGTGGATCGATAAATTATACAATGGTCTCAAGAAATGGGCAACCTGGGATTTTTTGACAGCAATTGTGGAGTGGGAGTCTTGCTGCGACATCATCGTCGAGTTGAGTGAAGACGCTGAGTCCATCAATCCAAAGCACAAGGTCTGTATTTCAAACACAAGTTTCTTGAGCGTTGACCCTCAGTGATGTCTGCGCCAGATAAATATGGATAAAGAACTGGAGGAATTAGTAATACGAGACTTGGTGGACCCAATTCAAGCTGTCGTCTCCTCCAAGCGAAAGATGGATGCTGTCATGGAGTTCGAAGAGTCTGAAGCGGAAGCTTTCATCGAATATCTTCATAGAGTCAGTACCCTGCTAGCACGGTACGGCTTCATCTCATGACATATTATTACGGCAGGGTATGGGTATTTTTACGGCCAAGAGCGACGAGTACAGGACGACTTTTCATTTGATACGAAAGCTATGCGCTCACCATCGATGCTGGCCGAAAGCATTTTCAATATCCAAGAATCTGACCACAGTCGGTAAACAGCCTGCGGGGTCTGGATCTTTTGCAGACGTGTGGGAGGGTAACTACGGTAAACAAGCCGTAGCTGTGAAAGCTATCCGCATTGCTAGCAGTGGTGATCTGCAAACAATGATGAAGGTCCGTGTTTTAAAACCACCAGAATGCGTGTTGATTCACAGAAGAGTCTGCGTGGCAGAGTTTCTGCAAAGAGGCGGTGGTTTGGAAATATCTGACCCACCCGAACGTCGTGCCATTTTTGGGCATCAACACGACCCTTTTCAAACTTTGTATGGTGAGCAAGTGGATGGAGGGAGGCGATATCAGATCATACCTGAACGAAAAGCCCGACGCATACCGTCCAGATCTGGTAGTGTGTTTTTGCTTTGATTCCGGACTCTACTCACGGCTGTCCTAGATTCTCGACATTGCCTACGGTGTGAAGTATCTTCACTCGGTCGGTATCGTCCACGGTGACCTGAAGGGTGTATGTCCATTACTGTTTTCTTACTTTCATGACCACTTGAGGTGGGCTCACACTCGATCGTATCACATAGCTGAACATACTTGTCGACGAGAATTCGCACGCATGTATCGGCGACTTTGGCCTAACAAGCGTGAAGTACGAATCCACCAGCATGAACATGGCAACGCTAGCATCCGTCTCTCCAGGTTCTCTGAGATGGATGGCTCCCGAAATGCTCGATCCCGAAAGTTTCGACATGGAAATCACAACAACTTTGGTTGAGAGCGATGTTTACTCGTTTGCGATGGTGATGTGGGAGGTCTGTATAAAGTTTTTGCTGCTGACGTCACTTCTCAACGAGCTATTTCCCGACACAGATTTTCACAACGCAAGTGCCGTTCGCTGAATTCCGCATGGACGCTCAAGTGATGAATCAAGTTCTGAATGGCAATCGTCCACCACAGCCAAAGAGTGCCGCCAAACTCGGATTGACGGACGAAGTATGGGAGATCATGGAGGACTGTTGGAAAACAAAGTGGAGCAAGTGGCCGAAGATCTCCAAAGTTATTGATTGGCTGGAGTACGAATTCGACGAATTCGAGAAGCAGAACTCGGCGTCGGATGCGCCATCATCGGAAGCAGAAGACAGTTCGGATGAAGATGCATAGCATGACGAAGAGCTGTGCCACTGGTGTGGCGACCATTTACCAGATCATCGTCCGTGAATTAGACGTGCGATATTGTACGTGACTAGTGACCTTCCTTATTGAATTGTAGCTTGAAGTGGTCTGTAATTGGACGATGTACTGTAGCCATGCACTCCCTACATTTTCAAGTTGTAGATCTTCCGATGTAATGACACACGTGTACACGGCTGGTAATGAAGCATGCGAACCTCATTGCATCTGGACCTAGTGGGGTCAGGCATTGTCTTGCACACACTTGAAACCAAGTCATTACTTCTGAAAATGAGTTCCATTGAGTTCTCAGCAGACACAGTAGTCGCGGTTGAACGCGGGTGTATTCTGTTCCTAGTATAACGTACAACATTATTGTATGAGACCCAGCGTGTACTATAGCTTGCACTGCACCCTACCAGCCGGGAAGATGAATGCAGCGCGGACGTGATAAGCATGAACGTCGTAGGACGGGTGTGAGGAGCTGGGTGTGGGATAAACACCAAGCATGGACGGAGAACGGCAGTTAGTATGGATGGGCAGGTATATCATCTACAATCTAGCAACACAAAGCAATGAGGATAAATAGGCGGAAGGATGAACTTCCGGTGCGATGAAGGATGAGCTTCAGGTGCTATATAGCACTAGCATAGATATATGGTTGGCAAACGATCGTCCGCTTACAGCTGAAGCTTCTTGGGCTGCTCCCATGTGTACTCCGAGTTGCCTGATGTGGCATTAACGACCTTGCATACAAAGAGAGGCAACAGAGCTCACCAAAGTGGCCGTACGACGCCGTCTTGCGGTACTGGGGCTTTTGCAAACCAAGATGTTGGACTAAGAGCAAGCAGTCATAAATAGAGCCGTAGATACCATAGCAGATGATACATACCAATGACACCTGGTCGGAGGTTGAAGTTCTTGCGGATGATGTCCACGAGTTCCTCATCGGTCTTCTTGCCAGTACCGTACGTGTCGACGTAGATCGACAAAGGCTCCGCAACACCAATAGCATAGGACAGTTGGACCAACGCCCGGCGCGCAAGACCACCAGCAACCAAGGACTTGGCTGTCAACATAGCAAGCATGTAAGTGCGACTGTCGTTTTGACGTTCACGTCGACATACCAATCCAGCGAGCAGTGTAGGCAGCAGACCGGTCAACCTTGGACCAGTCCTTGCCAGAGAAGGCTCCCCCACCGTGAGCACCCCAACCACCGTAGGTGTCGACGATGATTTTACGACCAGTGAGACCAGCATCACCCTGAGGGCCACCAATCACGAAGCGACCTGAAGGTTGGATCTAAAACACATAATGTGAAAAGATGACTCCTCATCAAAGCATGAAGTTCACCAACTGACGTGATACACCGTGCGCGCGTCGAGCAGGTTAGCAGGGATGACTTGCTTGATGATCTTCTCCATGATCTCCTTGCGCAAGTCCTCGGTCGAGATCTCCTCGGCGTGCTGCGTCGAGACAACAATCGTGTCGACGCGGAGAGGGATGGTAGCACCGCCGTCCTTTTTGTACTCGACAGTGACTTGCGTCTTCGAGTCGGGGCGGAGCCAGGGAAGAAGGCCAGAACGACGAGCGACAGCCATCGCCTCGTTCAAACGGTGGGCGAGGACAAGCGTGAGGGGCATGTACTCGGGCGTCTCGTCGGTCGCGTATCCGAACATAATGCCCTGGTCACCGGCACCAATGTTCTCAAGCGCGCCATGGTCGAGGCCCTGCGCAATATCAGGGGATTGCTGCTCGATCGCGACAAGGATGTTGCAGGTCTTGTAGTCAAAGCCCTTGGACGAGTCGTCATAACCAATCTCCTTGATTGTGTTGCGGATGACCTTCTGGAAGTCGATCTTCGCCTGAGTGGTGATCTCGCCGAAGACCATGATCATGCCGGTCTTGGATGCGGTCTCACAGGCAACTTTGGAGAATGGGTCCTGCGCGAGACAGGCATCGAGCTAGAGCGCGACGGATGCTCAGAGCTCCAATCTCGTAAACATCACTGTAATTGCACTCACAATGGCATCGGAAACCTGGTCGCAAATCTTATCTGCTCGGACGTATGAGACTTCTATCTGCAGTCTAACTGCAGCACTGCTTACCGGGATGGCCCTCGCCAACAGACTCGGACGTGAAGAGGAAGTGGCCAGGCGCGAGGGCAGCTTGTGCGGAACCGTTGGCGGACATGTTGAGGGCGAAAGGACGGCGGGAGGAAGTGAGAGAGGCGAAAAGCCAGTCAGGTCTTTAAATTTCGGCGTCCACGGACCCCGAGCACCGCGCGCACGCCATCTGCCAAAGTTTCTTGTCGTTCGATGCTGGTGCGACGATTTCGATTTTAACAGCAGTCCGTCCCTCGCCTCGCACGTCGTTCGGGACAGCTCACACATAAATGTTTCCAGAAGCTGATGCCAAGTTGCGCCTGCCTAATAAATACTACACGATGCGTTCTTTTCTCGTACAAACAACACCGAAATACACAGACATGGGAACCGATCGTCGCGTCTCTATCGCGCTTGAGAAGTATGATACAGCACAGAACATACTAACTTTCAATGTACAGATACTTACAAAAGTCCTACTCCTAGAGGGTCTGAAGAGGCGGATGAAACAGGATGGGGTGGCTCAGATGAAACCGACGGGGGCGGGGAAAGCGAGGGGATATCTCGTCCCGCATTTTGAGATAACGATCCTATTCGTGAGACTGAGTGGAGAGTGCGTGAGGATGACTGCAAAGAAGCACCAGGCAGCGCAACCGTCGGATCCAAAAGACTCGGGTTTGAAGAGGCAGGTGACGAGCGCACTGGCGCTGGCTCGGGCGTGGGCGAGCGCGCCGAGCTCCAAGGGTTGTCAAACAGCATCGAAGGCACCTCCGGGTGCGCCTTTGTCGTTGACCAGGGGTTGGTAGAGCTAGGTCCAATCGTGTGCGAGATTCCGGAAATGCGGGGAGACGACGGCCGCCTGCTGTGTTCCTGCACCTCCCCCCAGACACCAAGCTCGTCGCGGCTCTTCAACTCGCCACCCGCGGCGTTCCCGCCCGTCCCCGTGCCAATTGCCAATCCCCGAAAGTCCTTTGCCACCCCTCCATACACGTCCTGAACTGCCGAAAATGCTGCGGTTGCATTTGAAGAAAATCGACCCCACATCGAGCGCACATTGGTGCTGGACAATAGCTCTGTCACTTGCAAAGTGGGAGGTACACGGGACGCGACTGATGAGCGTGAGACGGGCGAAGGAGTACGGGGCGGCACAACCCTGCGTCCCGAGGCGCTGTCTAACCCGTCACGTATACCAGGTGCATCCAGAGTCAATGCCGAACTCCCGAGTGCCGAGCCTGGCGCCGAAGGCGAATCGCTCCTCTCAAAAACTCTCCGAGCGACCGTTTGCGATGGAGGGATGCTGAGGGAGGGAGATATGGCAGGGGACGGCGGAAGTGGAATAGAATATGGAACCGTACCCACTGGATCATCCGCAGAGCTCTCTATTGGACCTACAAATTCTGTTTCCGGAGCGAGCTGGCGAGTGACAAACCTGCCATTCATCTCCTCATCCGTGCGACCGTATAGTTCGTGCCAGAAACGCACATCCCTGGGATTGGGCAAAAGCACGCCCATATCTGCTTTTGGTACACGGCTGGTTGAGTCGTCCAGCGAGGAGTCGTAATCAGGATTGCGATTTAACTCAACCTCGGGTGGTGAGTTGAAGAAGTCCCATACGCTCACGGTACGCTCCCATGGCGGCAGATTACTACCCTCACCTACACGCCGTTCGCGTTCAGTATTGAACAAAAACGTACCAAATTGGCATGAGTACAAGTGGTAGTGTAACTGTCGGAGGAAACGCTCGTTGAACTCGAATCGTTCTGGGAATTGTCGCTGTAGCTGTCGCACGCACTCCAGCCATTGGTGGAAAACAGGGCTAGTCTCCTTGATGTGGTGCTGGGAAGCGAACCGGTTCTGCATAGATGCCAAGAAGGCCTGTGCGGCTTCCGCACCGCCACCAGCGCCCGTATTCTCAACTGGGGCGAGGAAGAACTTTTCCGAAGACAGATGGCCGCACCGATCCAGGAACTTGTGGCCGAATGAGACCCAATCCTTTTCGACCAGGATCTGGAATCCGCGCATCGTCCGATAAAACGGATCCAAGCAGAGTTGGGACAATGACGATAGTTGCGCAGTTCGGTCCCAGCCGTCGGAACAGTGGATGAGAACGTGTGACGAATTAACATGGACATTCCGCACGATGAGCAAGGAGCCTTCTATGATCGCCGAGATATGCTTGAGCCATCCTGACCGCCGAAGTGCTTGTCTATCGAGCACGGAGGTCACAGTCCCTTCACCAAGGCGTTCTTCACTAGTCCCTAGGACAGCCGAGGCCATTTCCGTCTCCCTGAGGGCTTCTACAACTTTTGCCAGGGACTCCCGCATCACGTGTATGTGGTCGATTCCGAGGTACGCTTTCTTTGCATCTTTGTAGTGATCCATATTCTCCGTGCCTGCACCTTTGGCCGTGTTGGCCATAGCATTAGTAGTGGGCCGTGCGTCAATGATCATGTTTGTCGCGGTTGCACCGTACACGGGGCCGCTGGAGGCGCGTGATTCAGGGGACCAATGGGACTGAAAGACGGCTTCAATGAGCTTCTCGTCTTGTATTGAACGATTATTCGTTAATCCGACCATCGGCTGGCTGGAGCGCGTGATGCTTCCCTGCATTATCCACCACGACGTCAGATACCAGCCGTAATGGCAACGTAAGTACCACTCTACGAACGTAATTTGCCCAATGAAGGTACGTCAGTACGGGCAACCTAAACTTGCTGCGGTACTTCGATGCATACTGCAGTGTCGTGTCGCTTATGCGAGTGGGCACGACGAGTCGCGCAGGGTATGTTGGTGAGAACTAGGGCGACTGAGGGTTATGAATGAATAGATGAGGCGCGCGGCCCTCCAGCGACGCACCGAGTAGTCTCTGTTAATATCGGTAAACCGCCACGCCTTTGTGCGAGAGCCCACCCCCATACGCCCAAACTCCTCTCGCGGAGAATACAGCGACCAGCCTGTCTGGACCGCATACGGAGGGTTGGGGACATAAAAGAACGCATATAACTGGTTGACGGACGCTAGGCGGCGCGGCTAAGTGCCCGCTAGGCAATGTATCGGAAGAAATACGCACTTGCGACCGTCAGCTCCTTCACGCTCTCAAATACGTCCACCGCGTCCGTCTCCGAAGCAAACACCAGCGCCAGCGCTTCGAAAGTGCGCGTCCGGACGCTTAGTGGGTATTGTCCCTGCAGGGTGAGCGGCAGCCGCGTCACCAGGGATATCAATGGGTACGGGACCTGTGTCCGCCGGGGTTTGTGAGATGTGTCCGCCGATAAAAACGAGTCTCAAGACAACTAACCCATGTCTCCTCCTTCTCTGCGTCGTCGTAGTGGAAGATGAGATGGTGCGCGGTTAGATGGATCGTTCCTGAGGAGATGGTTCCTGCTTTGCTGCAGAGAACACCTTCGACCTGGTCGGGATGTGAGTCTTGTCACCGGAAGTGGCGTGAATGGACAAGAAAACGACATGCCTTTGCTACCCGGATGGCGTCCATTGCAGCGGGAGATGGGCTCGCAGCAGACGGGCAGTGGCAAAGTATAACCGACTCACACGGCGCGCGATAGGCGCATACCTCAATGGGCGCTTGCTCTGCACCGCTCCGAATCTTGTAATACCGCCGGATTTACCTGCGCGCCCAACAGCACTGCACCAGCTCAATTTTCGCCATACTGAATTCCCTTTGTCCTCCATCGACTGGAACAAACCCGCCGGCGGCAGTGCAGAGCTGAATGGCGGCCTTGTTTGCAAAAGTCGCACACTTTCATTTGGCGCAGGTCTCTTTGCCTCACCTGGAATGTCGATCCCTTTCTTCGTATTTTGTGCACTCGTAGCTAAGAGGCGGCTTGTCGCCACAGATGTTTCCATCGCATTTCGTCATGAAGGTGCTCTGAAACAAGGACGACACCGACTTCGTTACCTTTCCGAGGCCATCCCACAGCGCTAGCGCTCTAGCGGCCGTCATATGGGTGAAGCGATCGCAGGATGTGAACCACATTACTCGTGCAGTAAGTCCAGAAGCGTATGTGCCGCGTCACTGGGAGCACACATTCTGCAGAGTCGGGCAGCTGTTATAAAGCTTTCTTTGTCGCATCTCCGCTACCATGATCTACAGCATTAGTTCATACGACCTCGCTTTATCGAGCATTGCAGACATCGAGCGTTGTATGTTACTGCTATAACAAACGAGGTGACTGGGGGAGAGTTTACAAAGCAGATGTGCGTTGGCATAAAGTCACAAACTGCCCACCAATTCGTGCTGCTTTAGATCTGCTCAGTAGTAGTGTGATCACCGCATCCTTCATAGTCTCACAAACAACAGCACGCGCTACAGTAGAGTTTCCATGGTAAACTACAATCGTTTAAATTTTCTTTATTCCATTGATCAAGACGTCTCCGTTCATGAAGACATAAACAATGCAAATACTATAGCAAGAAAACAACATCGACAAAGACTCACTAGCATCCCGCTCCCCACGTCCAACCCTCTGCATGATCTATAGCACATACCTAAAGTCTCGGTTCTGGATATCTGTCAGGTCCAGGAAGGCCTATGGGGTGGGGTTCGACGGTAACGCGCATCCAAGCAAGACAGAAGGCAGTACGGAACGAACCTTATCGACCTTCTTCTCCTCACCCGTCTTCTCATCTATCATGTACACCTCATCATACATCGGGTCGTGTGGCTCCGCGTCGCGCCGCACATTCTCCCGTACGAGCACCCATCGAGTGACCAGCAGCAGTACGAGACAGGTGGCCCAGCACGCAGTAAGGATCGCCCATGGGACATGGTTCCTGCGAGGTAGGCACGGTATCAGCGACTTTACCCCAATTGAGAATGAAAAGATACGCACCGAGGCTGATATTTCACCAGCCAAAACTGCGGCCCGACGGCATTACCAAGGGCATATCCGACCATGACCATGGCGTTCATCGTTACGCGCTTCGTGTGTCCTGCTGTAAGCGATCCGACCCACGCCAGGACAATGACAAACGGCGCGAGCATCGTGACTAGACGCAACAGCACAACATTCATCAGTGCGGCATCGGCATTGGATGATCACCCATCGCGAGACAACAGACGCGTCAGGGAAAACACGGCACGCACTCGAAATCCAGTATGAAAACAATAGCCCTACCCTGTCCGACGATGGCAGCGCATTCACGAGGATAGAGCCGAGGACCGCCACGGCGTAGGAAAGTGCAGCCGAATATGCACGGCCGTTAGGCCAGTACGTCGCGGACATCGTCGTGCAAAAAATTGCGATGACTGCGCGTATAAAAGTGAACGAAGGAACGCATGTCCGTTAGCGCAGATAATAGATTGAAAGTACGAAGACGCACTCTGAACGACACCGTCGACACATCCGAGCAGCGTAGTCTGGAGATCGGTGAACCCGAACTCGGAGACGATGATTTGTCTCTGGTTGGCGAGCTGCGTACGAAAATCATGTTAAATCACCT